TTAATCCAGAAGCAGGTCTCATAACTACTTTAAGTTTGAACGGTGAAAAGTGTAAACAGTATTTTGAGATATCTGCAGTCACTATAATGAGTTCAGAAAATATCTGTGATTTTTTTGTGTGTGTGGGGGGGGAGACAGGATTGAGGATTGTTCATTCTACTTTAGGTTTTTTTTTGGCATACATTCATAGTGGAATGAAGCTCAAAATTTTAGTGAAAAGTTAGGGAAAATAAAGATGTATTTATTTTCTCCCATTCAAGTTCATACTCCCTTCTCCTGCCCTGCATTCTTTTAGGGCCACTATAGAGCATTGTTTCTCAAAGTTCAGTATTTATCAGAACCACCTGTAAAACATAGATCCCGGTGCCCCACTCACAGAAACCCTGAAAGGGACGACTACAATGGGCCCAGATGTGTACATTTTAACAAATTTGAGAAGCATGGAACTAAGATTTGGTACCGTCACCTGAAAGAAGTTTCTCTGTGACATCCATGCAAATCTTGGAGTCTCCAGAAATTTAAATACCCTGATGACATAAGGGTTTCCTCTCCAGGCTCTGCTGAAGCTTTCTAGGACCCAGGCCTCTGGGACCAGGACACCAACCACTGTGGAATGTGACTAGCTGAAACCAGCCTCACTGGCTGGATACCCCTGCGTCTGGTCAGCTGATGCCAGAGGCTGACTGGCGAACTCCTGGGTCATGCCACAGCTGCGTGCTCCAGTAGTATAGTGGAAACCAGGAGTACGGCCAGTATGGCTATAAAGTGAATAGCTGTTGATAATGAATCATTCAGAATTCCTACATGGAACAAAACCCAATGATATGCTCCTCAGGGGTCATACTAAAAGGTCAAAACTAAGAAGCAACATCTTGACGAGGGGATTATATTAATGTCACCATTGAGGAGTGGATGGGTATCTTGAAATACAATAAGCTGAGAAGCACAAGCCTGATTTATGTAGTATTCCAACCAGGTCTGCATGCTCTGAATCTGATTGGGGAAATATCAGAAAAACCTCAAATGAGGAATACTTTATTTTAAAAAATGAGGAGGGAGGATGCTGCATTTTTCAAAAATGTTAATGTCATAAAGACAGAGTCTGGAAATATTCAAGATTAAGGAAATATAAAGAAACATGACAAGAAAATGATTTCATAATGAAGGGTGAAAATGCTTTAAATGACAATTGACAAAATTGGAATACTAATGGTAAAGTATTGTATCAATGTTAAATTTACAGAAGTTGTATTGTGGTTATATAAGAACATATTCCTGTCCTTGAGAAATACACATTGAAGTATTTAGGAATAAGGAGCTATTATTATTTATACATCTGGGTCCTAAGTGGTTCAGAAAAAAATTGTGTGTGTGTGTGTGTGTGTGTGTGTGTGTGTGTGAAGGGGAAGTGAACAAATGAGCCACTGGGATAAAGTGTTAACAGTTGTTGAATCTGGTAAAGTGGAAACAGATGCTCTTTGTGCTGCTCTTTTTCTTGCAGCTTTTATGTAAGCTAAAAATTATTTCTAGATAAAAAACTATGCATGTAACAATAGCTAGTTTTTAAAAATTCAAGAAAATCCTGTAAAAGCACAATAATACTAAAACTTTAACCTATGTTTTTACTCCCTAATAGGTTAAAAAGACAGGACATAAAAAAGGACATAGAAAATGATGTAATGGTTAAGATAAAAAAAAAAAAAAGAAAAGAAAGAAAGAAAAACCTTCTGAAATTGGAACTGGCTTCTGGTCCAGCTCCACTACTTATTATCTCTGCAAACAAGGCAACATACTTAAAATCTCTAAGTCTCAGTTTTCTCATCTGAAAGTAGGAGGATAAAATGGAATCGCTCTCATAAAATAGTTGGTGGTAGTTCTGGAGATAATGCATATAAAATCCTTAGCCTAGTACTTTGCATTTAGAGCTCTCTCAATGAGTGTCAGTATTTCCAGAGCAGTCACAGACACAGAAAGCATCCTATTTCATTTTATAAGGTAACATAACACTGAAAGTATGACAGAAATACATGCAGGAAAGAAGCCCATGGATCCATCTCATGAACAAATATGATACATAAATCATTTTTAAAAGTCCAGCAGTATATTAAAAGAATAATAGACCATGACTTAATAGGGTGCATTCCAGAAATATAAGAACCAGTCAACATCAGAAGAGCTAATATTGTACAGTAATCCATTACCTTACATTCTATGATTCTGCCCTGTTTAACCTGTTTTCTCAGTAGATGCCCCCAAAAATATTTTTGATAAAATTTAATTTTCATTCCTGAGAAAATCCTCTTTGTATATTCAAAATGGAAGGAAACATTGTCAACATGATGAAGAAACTGACCATAAACATCTAGTAAGTCACTGGAAACATGTCAGAATCAGACAGTATGTTCCAGTAGTTTGTCTTATACATGAGGCAATAGAGTGACATCAGGAAGACTAACATCTAACACAGTCTCAGCCCAGGCTGGGCAAGATTCAGAAATTCACTATAAAAGTACTTAACAGCTTGTAAGGCTTGAATGACAGAATGTTCAATAATTGGAATGGAGTTAACTGATAAATTATTTGAGGAAAATTGATCCTTACCTCAACACCATACATCAAAATAAATACTAGGTATAGAGTGAAGTATAAAATGAAACCACAGACCATATAGAAGAATATAGAAGTAAATACTTTCATTAATACTGGGTTGGATAAGGCTTTTTATATGATGATACTAATTAGGCAGAAGCCATAAAGGGGAAAAATGAAAAATTTTCTTACATAAACATTTTGAAACATCTATGTGGCCAAAAATACCATAAGACAAGTTTAAAAGCAAAAAATTAATTATAAGAAATTATTTGCAATCTATTTCAAAGATGTCATAAATCGTTAAGAAAAAGAATATAATAATCATATAACTGACAAAGGACATAAAAACATAACCTACAAAATAATTGTAAATGACCAATACAAAATATAGGGAAAACTTTCAATCAACAGATACAAAGAAACAAATAAAGCAACATTAGATTACGTTTTTGCCATTAAATTGTAAAGAGGAAAAGTCAAGGGTATAGAGAAGATGGCATCTTCAACCATTGCTGGTAGTACTATAATTTTGTAGCAATGTTCCTAGATGCCAGGTTGGCGTTGTATTACATATCTTTGATAATGTACATACCTTTGGCAAAGCACTTCAAATTCTAAGTTTATCCTAAGGAAATAATTGAACAAGTTAAGTATACAAACATGGAACTAGATGATGTTCATCACAACTTTATAATAACAAAAATTAGAAGCATCTTTTTTTTTGAGTTGGAGCCTCACTCTTGTCACCCAGGCTAGGGGGGCAGTGGAATGCTCACAACCACTGCAGCCTCGATCTGCTGGACTCAGATGATCCTTCTGCCTCAGCCTTCCAAGTAGCTGGAACTACAGGCTTGTGACACCAAGCCTGGCTAACTTTTTGATTTATTGTAGAGACGAGGTTTTGCCAAGTTGCTCAGGCTTGTCTCAAACCCCTGGGCTCAAGTGGCCTTCTCACCTTGGCCTCCCAAAGTGCTGGGATTATAGGTGTGAGCCACCATGCCTGGCACTAGAAGCATCTTAATTATCTAGTATTACTAGTTATATCTGTATAATAAAATAGTATAGAGCCATTAAGAATAATATAACATGATTGCCAGCCTAGGCAACATAGTGAGACTTCATCTCTACAAAATATTTGCTGAGCATGGTGGTGCATGCCTAGTCCCAGGCTACTCAGGAAGCTGAGGTGGGAGGATCACCTGAATTCAGGAGGTTGAGGCTGTGGTGAGCTATGATCATGTGACAGAGTGAAACTCCAACTTAAAAAGTGAACATTATTGAAGTGTATTTATTGATATGTAAAAATATTATTAAGTGAAAAAGCAAGCCACAGAATTGTGTATTCATTATGATTCCATTTTGTTAAGAAAAATACATATATATATATATGCATAGGGAAAAATTTTTTTAAAACCATACCAAAACATTAATAATGATTATGTTTGGTTAAATGATTCATATTATTCATTATATTAATCCATATTTTACATTAATTGTATAATATTTGTAATAAATTTCTAAAATTCTACAAAACGATGAAATTGAGTAAGATGCTACAGAAGTATTCTAGGTGAATTGTGTGTTACTGGGTAACAAAGAGAAGGAGTGCCTCTAGGGGGCAGCAACTCCCACATATTGTGGAAGCTTCAGACCAACAAGGAGTACTTTATACTCATGTTAGAAATAGCTGAACTGGGCAACTTGGTGAGACCTCATCTGTACAGTAAATCAAAAAATTACCTGGGTGTGGTGGCATGTGCCTATAGTTCCAGCTAATTGGAAGGATGAGGCCAATGGATAGCCTGAGCCCAGCAGGTCGAGACTGCAGTGGCTGCACTCCAGCCTGGGTGACAGAGTAAAACTCTGACTCAAAAAAAGGAAAGAAATAGCTGAACTGGCTGAGTGTGGTGGCTCATATCTGTAATCCGAGCACTTTGGGAGGCTGAGGTGGAAGGATTGCTTGAGACCAGGAGCTTGAGACAAGCCTAGCCAACATAGTGAGACCTTGTCTCAACAACAACAACAAAAATTAGCTCAGTGTGATGGTGTATACCTGTAGTCCCAACTACTCTGGAGGCTGAGTTGGAAGGCTCACCTGAGCTTAGGAGGTCGAGGCTGCAGTGAGCCATGATCATGCTGCTGCATTCCAGCCTGGGCTGGAATCTGACTCAAAAACAAAAACAAACAAATAGCTGAAGTGTTTTTTTTTTTTTTTTCTATACCTGAAAGACCTTCTGGATGTTTTCATTTTGTAAATATAAACTGAGTGTCTTCTAATAAAAACATGTGGCCTTTGGGTGTATGCTTTTAACAATGATTTTTCTGGTTATTTGGCCTCTGGTTCATTGCCAGCTTCATGTTTATTTGCTGAGTAAGCCTCTTATTATCACAACTTTGTTCCATTACAGAATGCAACTGCTCTTCCAAGCACTTGGCGAAGAACGGATGTGCACTTAGAGAACCCAGAATACCACACCAGATGGTATTTCAAGTATTTTTTAGGACAAGGTAATTATGCCGTTATGGTGGTTGGTTGAGTAAGAAAGGATATTCAAAATGAAAATTAGGGTTAGTATAATTTCTGGTACCCAAATGAGTGAAACGAATCAATCTAGGGAAACTAACATTAGGGCATTTCACTTCAAAGCCAGTAGTAAACCTTGTTGACTAAAAGATTCAATTTGTAGTCTCAGCCCTAAGAATTTTGCTCATTATTTTTTTTGGACAATTATTTTTGTCCCTGGGGAGCTAAGGTGATTATAGCATCTAAATGAGTTATTTGAGAGATAAAAAACAATTCTTCAGGGTAGGAAAACGACTTTATACTTAACAAGGTACGTGCCCTGTCTATAATGGGTTCTGAATACTTCGTCCAAGGCAATGATGGAAAGAACTGGTCCCCTGAGTCCCAGAGCTAATATAGAACTAGGAAGGCATTATATTTTAGGCTTTGGCATCATTCAGACATTCATCAGTGGCGGGTATTTATTTATCATCCACTATGTGCCAGGCAATATGCAGCACAGTGGGGATACAACAGCAAAGACAGCCATGATCCCTGCCCTGATGGGCCCACAAGATAGGTTTGAATCCTAGTCCTGCCATTATTAATCATGGGACCATACACTAGTTACGCTCCACTTCTCTGAGACTCAGTTTCCCTTTCTGTAAAGTGGGTGTATTACTAGCACTTACCTTGTAGGTTTGAACAGAAGTTTCAATGAGATGATGCAGGAATAACACTAAGCCCTGTACCAGGCACAAAACCAAGAGCTCAGTCATTAATAGCTATGTACGTTTAAAGTGGAGGGCTCAAGTGAAAATATGTGGAAAGGTGAAAAACAGAAGTGTGGTTCATGGCAAAAGATAACAGAAGAGTAATTACTGTTTTGGGCTTCTAAGTGTGTTAGAGAAGTTGCTCCTCAGGCCAGTGCATTCATTTGTGGATGTGATACTTGAGCTATGAAATGAGAATGAGTGGACCTAAATGATGCCTTTTAAGAAATCTAACTCTGTGTTACTCTAAGAAATTCATTTATTTGTCCAGGCATAATTTATTAAGAGGAGGGACATAGAAGCATTTATTTAAAAATACATCAGCAGTAAAGTCGTCATCTTCCTAAATGCTTGCAAGCATAGTGGACAGAGTAGTGAGCACTTTATAGGAAAATGGTGCTATAAGTTTGAATGTCTTCAGCTACAAATAACAGAAAACCAGTCTCAAGTGGTTAAACAGGAAGGAATATAACAAGAATTCCAGAGGCAGGACAGGCTACAGGGCTGGTGACTTAGACCCAGACCCTCTTCCTTTTTCTGCTTCATCGTCCTTGATGTGGCAAAGGCTGGCTCTCCTCAGGGTCATGAGATGGTTGCAGCAATTCCAGGCATCACTTCTAGACACTACCATGTCCAGAGGATGAAGAAGGCCATAGTTAGGAGACTGTAAGTCTTTCCAGAACCCCCATGGCAGATTTCTCCTCCAGTCTGGCAAGGGGAAGGGCAGTGATCAGGTTCCGTTTGAGCTGTCCTTGGGCTTATTGTTCTTTGAGCATATGGGAAGGGCTGGACACCACCTGCAGTGTCCACTACCATCTGTGACTGGCAGGACCAGTTGCAGTCTCACTGTTCTAAACCTGTTTCTTTTCTAGTCCATCAGAATTACATTGGAAACGATGCAGAGAAGAGCCCCTTCTTCTTGTCTGTGACCCTTTCTGACCAAAACAATCAGCGTGTCCCTCAATATCGTGCAATTCTTTGGAGGAAAACAGTAAGTATCTTGATTGCACTTGAAGCAAAGGTTATGTAACAGTTTCAGGAGATAACTCTTGTGTTGGGGAAATGTGTGTCAGTTTCCTCCAGGGTATGCATCATAGTCCTCTTGTGGTTCACTTAGTGAGAAGTGACAGAACCTTCACCCCAGCCCCTTATCTTCCACACCAGGCAGGCTGCTTTCTGGTCTACTTTTTTTTTTTTTTTTTAATCTTTTACTTATTTTATTTGCTAATTACAGCATTCTAATCTCTGGTTTAAATATTCTGTTTAGAGTGACTCTATCCCTTTTGGGCAAATAATCAGTCTTTCCAATTTATTTTCCCCTCCTGCTCCTCTTGCAGTTGGTATTTGGGTACATGGGGAGAGAACTTATGAGGCCTTGTGGTGGCAGAAGACCTTGGATCCACATGGGCTCTCTGAGTTCTTTCTGGTTTCTACTGTGGAGTGGCTGGTCTGGTCTCTGACTTCTGAGATATAACTGGTCCCTCTAGCTCTTTGGGGTCATGGGAAATCACCTGCCCCTGAAATCCATTGTCCCAGCCATTTACCTCTTGTTATGAAGTCATTCCTTGGCCTGATCGCAGGTCTCTGCACCTCTCAGAAGCTCTAAGTTCCTTCCTGGGGCACATCCCCTACAAACCACTGGTCGGATGTGTGGAGGGAGGAGCTCTGCCTTAGATCTGCATCTGTCGTCTCTCTGGTCATCAACACTTGTAGCTCCAGAGTTACTGCATTTCACAAAATTTATATAAGTCTTATCCCGATAGATTTGCATTGTCCCCCAATCCTCTTCAAGGCTTGTCCTCCGCGTGGGGGCATCGGGGCCTGGCATCTAACCTTTGGTCTTCTTGTCATCTTCTTTCTTCCTTCCTTCCACAAAGGCAGGAAAGGGCAGGTTTCCCACTTGTTCCACCTTTGTGGAATAGATTTTCTCAGTGTCATTTCTTCTTCCATCAGGAAGTGACATCACCCCCTCCTCACCTTGAGATGGCTGCCAGGTACTAGGGAAGGCAGAGGGGGACAAATGCAGGGGGGAAATTTTGTGTATTTTAATTTCCAAAGATATTGTCTGTGTGACATTCTAAATTTTGATCAGCACTCTGAAGAAAGACAGACAGACAATGGCAGAGCATGATGCAGGAGACCTGCTTAGTTGAGAGAGTTCAGGGAAAGCTGCTTGAGGAGGTGTCCTGCAAGTAGAGACTTGAGGAATGAAAGGGAACCAGCTACATAAAGAGTAGGAGAAGAGCAGGCGAGGAGTGTTCCAGACAGAAGGACCAACAATCCCAAGACAAACAAGGAATGCTCTGGGGGGTTACTGGTACTTGGCATGAGAGAAGCTGAACGGGGGTGGGATTCAAACTCCAGAACTACTGTGAGACAGCACAGGGCTGGTCATGGTAAGCTTTGGTCCCTTTCTGGTAAGAAGTGCCCCCGACTTTACCCAGGCACCTTCCCTAGGCCCTCAATCATGTGCTGAGGGCAGTGAAAGGGTTTGCTTCCAGCTGCAGAAGGATGTTCTGAAGGAAGGAAGGATCTGAGAAATCTAAGCTGAATGTTAGCCTACGGGGTCAGTTATTAAGTTCCTTTAGCTCAAAACTAGTGCTGGAGGCTATGGGAAGTGCACCAAAGTATTTGACTCAGTCTTCCTCCCATCTCAGCGAGCTGGCATTGTTAGGTTATAAAGAAGTTAGAAAACTAGCTAAATGTGTAACCCTCATAACAGTCTTGCATATCTCTGCTGTGATTCTTCTAAACAAAGAAAAGTCTCACAAAAAGAAAGTATGAAAAATCACTCATACTTATTATAAAAATGCCATCCAGACAGTACAGCAAGGACAAAAGAGCCCAAGTACTTAGAGATGATTACTGCCACAGGCTTCTAGACACACATGCACACACATAAACAGCGTAACATTACATAAACAGAGTAATGTTTGCTGTGCACTCCTACATCCTTGCGGTGCTCACTTGGTGTTGCCCGATAGGCAATTGCCTCTGCCTATGCATTTGGTGGTTCCACTGGAAAGCAAAGAACCATTTTACTCAAATATCGGCTCTGGAAAGCTACAAAAGAGAGGAAGAGCTTTATCAGTTTGTAGTGAAGAAAAGCACAAACTTTAAATCCAGCGAGCCCTGGGTTTCACACCCATGTAGGCAGCTTGTGAAGATGTTACCATAACCCAGTAGAGGGCTGGAAACGTGCCACATGTTTCCCCCAAAGCTGTCCTTGGCTTCCCTTTAAAACTTTTGGTGTGTTGGTGGCTGGGTGCCTGACTCACTCCTGTAATTCAGCACTTTGGAATGTCAAGGCAGGAGGATTGCTTAAGCTCAGGAGTTTAAGATCAGTCTGGGCAACATAGCAACACCCCGTTTCTACAAGAAATCAAAAAATTAGCTGGGCCTGGTAGTTCACGCCTGTAGTTGCAGCTATTTGGGATGCTGAGGGGGAAGGATTGCCTGAGTCCAAGATATTGAGGCTGTGGTGAGCTGTGATTGTGCCCCTGTACTCTAGCCTGGGTGACAGAGTCCCTGGTTAAAAACAAAAAAACAAAAAAACATTTGATCTGTTGGGTAAGAAGAAAAGGTAGGAACTGAGCAAGAAGGGGCAGTTCAAGAGCCTCTCCTAGACAGACTAGTGTCCTGCATAGGGGATGCAGTGTAAGTTAGGCTAGAGCCAGTAAAAAAACAAAACGAAAATAAAGCCAAAGCCAGGTGTGATGGCACATGCCTGTAGTCCCAGGTACTTGGAAGACCAAGGCTGGAGGATTGCTTGAGCCCAGGAGTTCAAGGCTGCAGCAAGCCATGATTGCACCACTGCTCTCCAGCCTGAGCCACAGAGCAAAAAAAAAAAAAAAAAAAAGCCACAGAGAAACTCAAGTTTTAAAGATGTGATCTTTGGAATTGGAAAATACATAGTTCTATCATGATATTCCTCTACACTTGGGAAAAAAATTTAAATCTTGTAACACAAACTACAAAAAGAAAAGCTAATCTTAATTTTCTTGGCCAATCGAGAATCATAAAAAGAGCTCCACCTAGTGCAGCTTCTGATGTTCAGCTGCAATGACCAGGGTGTGGGTATGGAAGTTTGGATTATGAAAATAGATCGTGGGCTTGAAAAGTTTAGAGAACTCCATTCCTAGACCATTGTTCAGGGTTTGGGCAGATAAATTGGCAGATGTGTCCTGAAAGCACGAGAAAGGTGATATTTACTTTTTTGCCCATTTCCTGCAACAGATACCCGTAACCTCCTTCTAGCTGTTTGTGACGCCAATTTTATTAGTCAAAGTTAGTAAGGAAGTTTTAAATTTGTATTAAATAATAATCCCTTTTGCTAACTATGCAACATACATCCTTTGTGCATTATAAATCTGCCTTATCTTTTCTTAGACGATTAGGAAGAGACTAGTACTCATCTGTTGTAAGTGGTTTGGACATGAGACTGACTCATTCAGGCAATTCTTCATTCATTCTCTTTACAGTCAGCAAATATGTATTGAGTACTTTCTGTGAGTTAGTCACAGTGGGTACACACTTAGAGAAAATAGACTTTAAATAAGAAAATGAAGACACTTATGAAAGTGCACATTACAAAAACCTCTCTAAAAGATTCAGATGATTTCTAGTCTTTGACTTGGAGAAATTATATTTGAACATATGGAGACTGATTTCTTCTTAGGATCATTGAGGCTTTTTCCATTTTTGGCTCAGAGACCAAATTTCTTTCTCATCTAGTTAAAATGGCTCATCTGCTCTCCACAATACCTAGGACACTGAAAACCTGTATGTTAGAGAATCATGCTTGACTCCATACATATTGATATGGGGAGATACTGGAAGATATTCAAACCTTGGTAGGGTTATTTCCAACAAAAATGTGATTATTCTTATATATGCCCCTTGAAGAAAACGGAGAAAGACTGGATATGGGCTTCTTTTAAATGGTCAAGTAAAGCTCTTTAGGGATGGAAGTTGCCAAACTTCTCACTGATTTGATGTTTTGACTTTTCCAGGGTACCCAGAAAATATGCCTTCCCTACAGTCCCACAAAAACTCTTTCTGTGAAGTCCATCTTAAGGTGAGTGCTAATGGATAGAAACCCCACACCAGGATTTGGAGTGCTTTGTAATTGTTTTTTCCTGTGAGCACTCTGATGTTAACATTCCATTTTCTTAAGCCTTGACTATGTGCCGGACATTTTATTGAGCACTTGACACGTGTTACCTCATGTAATCATCACAGTAACCCTGTAAGGCAGGTGCTGTGAGAGTCCTCATTTTACAGGAGAAGGAACATTCACTGAGAGAAAGCCAAGGTCACACGGCGAGTGTGTGGTAGAGCCAAAGCTCGAGTCCGGGTCCGACTGGTTTCGGGCATCACTCCTAGTTATCTTTCCATACAGCATTAATTGCCTGCTTCTTCGTTCTTGCATGCATGCAGATACTTTGGTTTTACAAAGAAAATCAAGAAATATTTTTCCTTTAATTTGTCTGCTTTGAAATAGAACCCAGATGTCAGTAAAGGCTTCTCTGAAGAGAATGTGCTTATTCTTCGCCAGACAGAGAGTTAAATGAATGGAACATCTGGCTCATGCCCCCACCTTCCCTCCTCCCTCTTATCTTTCTCCCATGCTTGAGTGGCAGCTTCCCCTAGGGAATGCCACCACTCAGATTCAGCTTGTTGCTTTGTCACCAACTAAGACGTTACATCATAGTAACAGTAGCTTATGTTTGTTAAGCACCTGGCTAAGTGCTTTACAAGCATTCCCTGAGTAAATCTTTAAACTAGCTCCATGCAGCAGATCTATTATGTTCGCCATTCCACTTGTAAGGAATTGAAGCCTCTGAGAGGTGAAGGAATCTTTGAGAGACTTCACAGCTGGCAACCACAGAACTGGGATTTAAACCTAGGTCCTAGGTCCGTGCCTTTGGGAGGCTGAGGTAAGTGGATTGCCTGAGCCCGCGGGTTCGAGACCCGCCTGGGCAGCGAAACCTCATCTCTACAATAAATCAAAAAATCAGCCGGGCGTGGTAGCGCATGCCTATAATTCCGGCTATGTGGAAGGCTGAGGCGGAAGGATCGCTGGAGCCCAGCAGGTCGAGGCTGCAGTGGCCGAGAGCGGCCACTGCACTCCAGTCTGGGCAACAGAGTGAGACTCCAACTCAAAACAAACAAACAAACAAACAAACAAAAACCTAGGTCCGTGTAACTCCAGGGCTTAGGCTGTCAGCCTCTAATGCCCTATTGTGTGAAGGACAAATTAACCCAGTGCCCTGACAATTCTTCTACAATGGTGGTGGTAGGAGATGTGTTTTCATTGTTCCATGTGACACATAGTAGCTACAACTCTTCCTTACTAAAATGACTCTTACAGTGACAAACTTGATGCTATCAGTTAGAGATTACATTTAACTGGTTAGAAGGCACCAAGGTTAAGAAATAAAAAACTTTATATCCCATTTTCAAACTTAGTTTGATTTTCAAATTGCAGACCTTCTCTTGTAAGCTCTACACCTTCTGATTTTTTTCCTGAGCAGTTCTAAACCCTGAGTTAAGAAAGCTTCCACCAAGAGGTTAACATTTTTTTGCTGAGACAGAAATATCCTGTTGCTTCTAAGGGGCTATAAATCTTAACTTGTTTGGAGAGTAGTACTTCAAATTATACTTGCTTAAGATTTCTGTGAATCTTTTTTGTTGTTGTTCCCTAAAAAGAAGTTACTCTTGCTCCTTTTTTCTTCCTCTTTTTCTTTTTTCTTTTTTTTTTTGAGTAGGAGTCTCATTCTGTTGCCCAGGGTGGAGTGCTGGAGTGCACTCCATGGCCACCACAGCCTCTACCTGCTGGGCTCAAGTGATCCTTCTGCCTCGGTCTCCAAGTAGCTGGAACCACAGGCATGCACCACCACCCCCGACTAATTTTTGTTATTTATTGTAGAGATGAGTTGCCCAGGCTAGTGTTGAACTCCTGGACTCAGGTGATCCTTTCACCTCCCAAAGTGCTGGGATTACAGGCATGAGCCACCATGCCCAACTCCTTTCTATTTATGTTTAAAAGCTAGGCATTTCATTTAGTTATATGAACAAGGCCTTAACTTTTAAGTATACCATTCATAGCCAGAGTAAGATACAGCAAGATTTTAAAGACGTGAAAGACTACAACTTTGATAGCTACTGCCATTAGAAGAAAAGATTTTGTCTTTTCTGTTACAAGAATGAACTTGAAAAGTTAAATGTAAATTAAATAGTGTCAGAAAAGCCTGGGTACAAGTCCTGGCTGTGCTATTTACCAGTTTTGTTATCCTGTTATTTAACTTCTGGTCTTCAATTTCTTCATCTTTAAAATGGAGGTAAAGTAGTGCTTACCCCATAGGGACTAAATGAAATAATCCATGAAAAGCATTTATCAGGGTGCCAGGTGTACTGTAAGTACTTTCTAAATTGTTATTATGTTTGCCTTTCACCTATAAATATTGGAGTCCTGACTAAAAGATTCCTTAGAGATCATCTAGTTCAATCTCCTTGTTTTACCTCTAGAAGCACTTAGGTTCAAGGGAGTTAATATTGCTCATCCAAAGTAAAACATTAAAAAAAAAAAGTAGACTTGTTAAGGACGATCTTTTGCTCTATGTGGCAGAGAAATGTCAGTTAATCTCAGTTACATTTCATCACTTTTCTAGTAAATAAAAACAAGAATCTAGAAGAATAATCAAGATTGCCTGAAACAGATGTTCCTGACTCCTCCCCTCTCTCTTAATACACAAGTATCATTAGGGGACAGTTATATAAGTAAAGTACAATGTGGTATTTGGTTACTTTCATGTATTCATTCATTGTTGATTTGTATCTTCTGAATGTCTGGTCCTTCAGGGAATCCATCTGCTATTTTCTAGAAGGTATTATTTAGCCTCTGAAGAACTGAGACTTGCCACATTATTTAAGTTTCCACCACACTGAAGCTCATTCTGTATATTCTATTTCAGTGCCATGAATCTGGACAAATTTGAGAAAGGCCCTAGGGAAATTTTTCATCCTGAGATACAAAAGGTAACAGAAAATTTTATGCTTCATACTTGTACAAAATCAATTAGTGTTAGGATAGAACTGATGGGTCATCAGTGATTCTTAGCCTTGGATATAGAGCAGAATCATCTGTGCAGCTTTATAAAAATTATTGTCAGAGAGCCTCATACCCAAGATTCTGATTTGATGAGTCTAGGATAGAACCTGGAAATCTACTTTTTAAAAGTTCCTTGAGTGAGTCTGATGCATAGCCACTACTGAGAACCACTCACTCATCATGGATGAGCTGCCTTCATCCATGAACCAATAGGGTGGGTGTACGTTTAGAAAGAACAGCTTAAAGCCTGGTCTTTTCACTGACGAATGTAGAATTGTATGGAATGTGAAAAAGATTTTTAAAAAATTAATAAAATACACAATGTGGCTATTTGAGCTCTTTTTTAATTTCAGTAGCTTTAGTGGTTATGTGGATACTTTGTATAGTGGTGAAGAAGTATGGGCTCTTACTCATGTAGAGTGTGCTGTGCTGGGTACCATTGAGGATAAAAGGTGTCAAGAAAGCCATCCTTATTTTCTTAGAACTTACTGTTAAGGGAAACAGTCAGCTTGGGAGAAAAAAAAATTAGAGTCATGATCTAGGTAATGGTTCATCAGAAAAATGTCAACCAGACTTTTGTCTTGCAGTCGTAATTGATTTAGCTGTGACAGTCTCCCCTTGAAATTTATAAACATAGCCATCACTAGTAGTGTGTCATGTGTCAAAGCTAAGATTTCAGGAGTTGGCACACCAGGGCTGAGTGGCAAGGGAAGAGACTGGAGAGTCAGGGTAGAATTCTAAGAGGCAGCTGAGACACAGTGGAGTCTTGAAGCAAAGAAGCATCCTGCTTACATTTGCATAGCATGAGGAGGATTGCTTGGAACACAAGCAATATTTACTTGCTTACCTTGAAGTACAGTTAGCTTTTAGAATAAGGTGATTGACTCTCAACTTAGCTTACCCCAAATATATAGACTTGTGGTGAATTGCTGTTTCTTTTGTTTTGGTTTAATTTATAAAGCAGTGTTTGTACTCTGCCTCAACTCCAGACAGAACTCAGGCAAAAATGGGTATGTTAGGTTAAACTTTAAGCAACCTAAGCCAACTGTGCCTAAAAGTGGTTCTTCATAGCAAATTTTAAAACAAACAGAATTATAAATAATGACATTTTTTACATTGGGATTTCTTCATATGTGCAAGTGCACAATTCTCTCTTTCCATAATTTCTTTTGATCATCTCAACCACCCTGTGGTGCAATTTAATTGTTCCTGAATCACAGGTGAGGGAGGAATCAGACCTCTGGTTGAAGTCACATGGCCTGTGTCTGTTCTGAATCCCGTGCCCAGTCCCTCTTAACACCAAGGCTAGTGCTCCTTCCACACTAACACAGTGAAGAAGAAGGAAAAACTCACACCTGTCAGCTTCCCAACTGTCTATTGCCTGGCAAGCATTAGCAGTGGGACATTTTGCAGCTAGTCCCTGGTCAGGCAGCAGAAATCAGAGCCTGGCAACAGGAATCTTAGCTGAGCTCAGGGACTGGTGCCTCACACTCAGCTCCAGGGGTGAGTATAAATATATCAGTATCAGTGATCCTTTATTACTCTACTCATGTGGTTATCATTCTTAATCCTTTCCTTCTTCGAGTCTTGGTATGACCCTCTACACTAACCCTGCTTCCCTGACACTGGGCCTCAAGACCCATGGAGCTGACTCCATGTCACTGCTCTCTATATCCAGCTACAGAGCAAATTTCCTCAGCAGAGTTAATCTCTGCTCATTTATTTCTACCCACTTTCTCACTTTCACGAAATAGGGAACAGGAGAGATATAGCAACATTTTGCCTATTTATATCATAACTCTGTACTTGTTTTTACCAAAAAAAGATACTTTCTTGCTTTCCTTACATGTATATTTTGGCTTTGTTTTCCTTTAACAAGGAACCATTCCTGAGCTTTCCCCTCATCCTCAGTGTGTGTGAGTGTTTATGTGTGTGTGAGGCTCGGGAGCTGCAGAATACCAGATTTCTGCATTCAGAATTTTTGCATTCAGAATCTGCATTCAAATCTGCATTCAAAATCTGCATGCAGATTTCTGCATTCAGAGCTCCAGAATGCCAGGTTTCTGCGGATTTCCCTAGAAAATCACAGGGTCAGGGTCTGGGCATGGTTGGCTCATGCTTATACTGTAATCCCAAAGCAGCACTTTGGGAAGCTGAGATGGGAGAATCACTTGAGACCAGAAGTTTGAGACCAGCCTGGGCAACGTAGCAAAACCCTAACTCTACAAAAAGTAATTTAAAAATTAGCTGAGTGTGATGGCATGTGATATAGTCCCTGCAATTTGGGAAGCTGAGGCAGACAGATTGCTTGAGACCAGGAGTTCGAGGCTGTAGTGAGCTATGATTGTGCCACTGTACTTTAGCCTGGGCAATAGAGTGAGAGACTTCTCTGAAAACAGAGAATTAGTTTAAAAGATTCATAGGATCCAAAGAGTAAACAGAAAGTAAACCAATTACCTTATAAAGAAGGCATCTTTACACAAAGAGGGAAGGTATCTGATGCTATTTTTAAATGTAGCTCATCTATTTCTGGCTGCTATATTGTAATACATTTTTCTTGACCAGAATCTTTCCAGAAGCAATGTGTGATTCAGGCTGGCTTTAATGGATAGAGAAACATGGTGTCTGTATGTTTCTTCCCCCTCCTATCCATCAAAGCCATCAAGTCTGTTTCCAGATAGTTGCAATATAATATGACTTTCCTAAATTACCAGGTATTTCATAAAAATTTGTAAGTTTAATTAGAATGTTTAAGGCATTTCATAGGTTTTTTTTTTTTTTTAAGTGTACATAAAATCACTCTCTCACAAATTCGATATAAATGTGAAAAAAAATCAGCATTGGCTTCAAACTAATGATAGGAATAATGTATATATCAAAAGCAATACCAGTAGGACTGTATTAAGAAACACCACTGCTAACCAAAATTGTACCTTCTGGACTAAAATTACAAACTGGAAAGCATAAGGAAGGGAACTTAGCTGATGCTCACGAATTCAAGAACAAGAATATTTTAAAAATCTGAATCATGTTAAGTGGGACACTAGCAAACAGCACAAATGACAGAACCATTCACTTGTGAGCAAATCTAATCCAAAACTTAAAAACTACAAAATAAATGTAAACTGACAGCCTGTGACATTCCTCCTGCCCCTGGAGCTGAGTATGAGGTACCAGTCCCTGAGCTCAGCTAAGATTCCTGTTGCCAGACTCTGATTTCTGCTGCCCGACCAGGGACTGGTTTCAAAATGTCCCACTGCTAATGCTTGCCAGGCAATAGACAGTTGGGAAGCTGACAGGTGTGAGTTTTTCTTTCTTCTTCACTGTGTTAGTGTGGAAGGAGCACTGGCCTTGGTGTTAGAGGGACTGGACACGGGATTCAGAACAGACACAGGCCATGTGACTTCAACCAGAGGTCTGAGTCCTCCCTCACCTCCTGTGATTCAGGAACAATTAAACTGCACCACAGGGTGGTTGAGATGATCAAAAGAAATTATGGAAAGAGAGAATTGTGCACATGCACATATGAAGAAATCCCAATGTAAAAAATGTATACGACTGCCTGGGGCAGTGGCTCATGCTTATAATCCTCGTATTTTTGTTACAGTCTAATCCAACAGTTGACTGCTTCCCTCTCAATCAAATTTGATAGACAGAGAACTGGAAGAAGTAAGGAGTTTTATTCTGATACTATGGCATCAGGAAACAGGCTGTGCATCCACCAAAAACCTGTTCATTTAAGCAGACTTTTCATTCAATATTATAATAAAACTTACAGTTTCTTATCTTTTTCCTATTATTGATTAATAAGACTACGTGTCTTATGATCATTACTCAGTTTCTTTCTTAATCTTTATTTAGACCCCAAACAGTTACTGTCATAAACTGGTGCTCAGATTACATCAATCCTGTCATTCTTTCTTTTTTTTTCTTTTTTTGAGTTGGAATCTCACTCTGTTGCCCAGGCTGGAGTGCAATGGCATGCTCATGGCCACCCCAGTGTTGACCTGCTGGGCTCTGGTGAGCTTTCTGCCTGAGTCTTCCAAGTAGCCTGGAACTACAGGTGTGCACTACCATGCTCGGCTGATTATTTATTTATATATTGTAGAGACGAGGTCTCACCAAGTTGCCCAGTCTGGTCTCAAACCCATGGACTCAGGCAATCCTCTTACCTCGACCTCCCAAAGTGCTGGGATCACATGCTTGAGCCACTGTGCCTGGCCTGTCCTGCCATTCTTATAAGTTACAATTACCTTGGACAATTCGGGGCTGCGTACTTCCTAGTTGGTTACAGTTTTTGGTTTTTGTTTTGTTTTGTTTTTGCTTATTCCAGGAGTTCTGGTTCAGTTCACAAGGCTTAATTAAACATTATACATAAAATTAATACAAAGACATGAAAGAAAGCAGTTGTCATCTAGAGACTAAGGGTACAGATACATTTCTGGGTTTTAGAAAGTCTCATTAGAGCCCATTTCTTACCTAGGTACGATGGAGGCTTTTCCAGGGAAATGCAGTTTTTGTGTGTCTCCTACTTACCGGGGGCTCAAAGAAGATGGCTGTGTTCCCTTCAGAACCAACAACAGTTACTAGATCCAAGGAGAGTGAAGGGGGGATAAGGAAAAATGTTCACTTTTAAATTCAGATGGCTTCTATGTTTAGCCCAACTTAGCTTAAGTTTCTATGTCTTTTCTAAATGATTGTTTTAATATAACCAAAATGGCCTCTTTTTAGCCTGTAACACTTTGGGAGGCTGAGGTGGGAGGATTACTTGAGCCAAGGAGTTCAAGACCAGCCTGGGCAACATAGCAAGACCTTATCTCTACAAAAAATTTTTTTTAAAAATTAGCTGGGTGTGGTGGTGTGCACCTGTAGTCCCAGCTACTCAGGAGACTGAGGCAAAAGAATTGCCTGAGCCCAAGAGGTCAAGGCTATGGTAAGCTGTGATCATGTCATTGTACCCCAGCCTGACCGACAGAGTGAGACCTTGACTCAAAAAGAAAAAAATGTATAATATAATTTTATTTTTTCTAGGAATTCAGAAATAGTAAAGATAGCTGAGTTCTCGATGGAAGAGGCTTCCTGTTAGATTAAAATGGAGATTTTACTGTACCTCATACAGTTCTTTCAGAATTGCTAGGTCTCCAGTTGACACAGCTCCTCCCCAGAGTGCCTTGGGCCAGAAGAAGGGTGAGGGTCCCTCCAGTCTCCCTGCCTCCATCTGGACCCTCAGCCCCTCTGTGCTCTCCCCGTGGCTCACTTGGGCCATCCCTTCCCACCTCCTCTCAGCCACAGTTTCCCTGTCAGAGCCTTGGCCTGGTATTCGCTTATCAACCCAAATCTACTTTTTTAGAAGTTCTGGGGAAATGAGACTTCTATGTAATTAATTTACACATTTTTATATGGAGTAACTGAGAATGAGAGGGAAAGTAATTTAAAGTTGTTCAAATCTCTGTTGTATACCAGGCCTTCCACATACAGTCATTCTTTCATAATGAGAGTTAACATGGGAATTATCCTTGGTTCATGGAGAAGGAGACAGACCCAAACAGCTTAAATGACTTGAGTCCAAACAGTTCAGAAAGTGACAGAGCAAGGACTCAAGGGCAGGATTGTTTACGTTTACTGCTCCGTGCTGCTTTTACAAGAGGATCTTATAAAGGAACTTAGTTAAAGTCTGGCAGCAGGAAGAAAAAATATCCAACACTCCTGGCACCTACCCTTGGTCATAGTTGTTTTTTTTCTTCCAAAGAAAGTTCCTATAACCAACTTTTAAAATTATCTTCCAAATGTCTTAACATAAAACAGTGTGAGTAAACTGAAGCTTTGCTTTCACAGACAGTCAAGATGAAATCATCACTGTTATGCATAGACATAACTTTTAAACTTTATTTGACAGGACTTGCTGGTTCTTGAAGAACAAGAGGTGAGTGATTTTGTGGAAATATATACTCCTGCTGTGTTTTGCCTCCATATTTATAAATATACTTCTCCCTACACAGTGAACGCAGCCTTTATTGCTGACATTATTGACATGTTTTTAAAAGGTATATTCATAATTTTCTATGCAGCTTGCTATAAAGATTAACAATAACAAAAAACTACTTAAATCTGCTTAGAAACATTCACATGTTAACCTTGTGATCAGGGTGAGTAATGAGTTTTTAATTTTCATTAAATTAAAATAGAGTGTTGGTGCTTTATTAGGATGCTCTTAATACACAAATGTCATATTTATTTACATGTTTCAGTTCCCTGTTGCCTCCATTTAAAAAAATGTATTGAGTTTTCTTTTTCCTTTTTTCTTTTTGAAAGCAGGATTTATTAAGAGGACAGAAAAGCTCCCAGAGTGGGAGTGGACCTGAGGGGGTAGCCCTGTATTGGGTTTTCTAAGTACATAACTTAGGGAAATATCTGAAATATTATCAGTAGGCAATTGAGTAAATAATGGTTTATACATATTATACCTGTCATTTGTCCAGTTGCTCAGCCCAAACTTGGAAAAATCCTTAACATCTCCCTTTCTCTAATACCCCACATCTAATCCATCAGCACATCCTGGTGACACATCTTTATAAAGTATCCTTGATCCAAACCCTTCTCAAATGCTTCCACCACGGCCACTCGCGTGCAACGATGCCACGCCCTTTCTCTTGCCTGTGTTCTGCAGAGCCTCCTGCCTCTTCCTCTGGCTTCCACCCTTGTCCCCTCTTCTACTTTCCAGATAGTATCCAACGGTCCTTTTAAGGCACGTCCAATAAAGTCATCCCTCTGCTTGAAACTCTAAAGCCCTCCCATCCACTCAAAGTAAAGCCTCAAATCCTTACCCTGACCTGCTGAGGCACATATGCTCTGGCCCCAGCTGCTTCTCCAATTCTTGACTCTGCACTAACCATATCGACCTCATTATTCCTCTACCTCCTCAGAAGGACCTGCAGTTCCCACTGCCGGGGTTGCTTGTCCCCCAATGTCCTCGAAGGCTACGTCCTCAGTCAGTCAAGACCTCTGCTCCAAGAGGCCTTCTCTGACCACCTGTCTAGAATGGCGTACCTTCCTCTCACCCTCAGCCCCTTGACTCTGCTTTGTTTTTCTTCTTAATGCTTGTATTTTCATATGTTTGTTTAGCTGTCTCCCCCATGAGAATATAAGCACCCTGAGAACAAGGACTTACTCAGTTTTGTTCTCTGCTGTATTCCCAGATTCAGAGCAGTGCAAATAGAAGGTTCGGGGTAAATATTTGCTGGGCAAACAAATGAATGATTGGATGAATGAATTATAAAATACTATGATGCCATTGAAAAAAATGTGGTAGGCTGCTATAGTCTGAATATTTGTGTCCCCCCATAATTCATATGATGAAGCCTGATTACCTATGAGGTAGTATTAGGAGGTAGGGCCTTGCAAAGTGTTAAGGTCATGAGGGAGGAGCTCTCATGAGTGGGATTTGTGCTCTTATAAATGAAGCCAAGGGAGCTGGTTCTCCCCTTCTACCATGGGAGTATGTAACTGGAAGGTACCGCCTATGAACCAGGAATAGGACCTTTACCACACACTAAATATGCCAGTACCTTAATTTGGATTTCCCAACCTTCAAAACTGTCAGACAGTAGAACCAGAAGTTCTACAGTCCATTGAGTCCACCCATTCATTTGACAGACAGGACAGTGAAGCCCAGGGAAGGAAAGAGACCCACTCATGGCCGGAACTAAGTGAATGGAATGACTACAGTAGAGCTTGGGTCCCCTGCCTTTTGATCTAGTGTTCCTTCCAAAATCATGGCATAGTGTTCTCTGGAGAGTGTTGAGTGAAACTAAGAGCTACAGGCAGAGACGGGGCCTACTGCCACCTGATCACTAGCCAAAGCTTTTATGGGGCTCTCTGAGACTGGTACCATGTTACCAGTACCCTTGCTGGGGACCCCTCCTGCTTCAGGGGGAAGCTCCAGAAAGACTGGTGTTGCACAGTCTTGTTAAGTTGTATCTGGCCAATTTTGTTTCTTTTCTCATTTATTATATGCATAGTTGCTCATTCTGTGAATATGTATTAATCTTCTCTAATGCACCTGTCACTATGGTTTGCACTGGGGATTCAATGTAAAGTAAACCATGTATGATCCTTTTTTTACAGGACTTCAGTTCTAGTGGTAGAAACAGACAAATATGCAAGTTCAACAAAAGATGTACAGAGTGTGAAGAGTACTTAGGTTCTAGTGGTAGAAACACAAATATGCCAGTTCAACAAATTAGTTACAGAGTATGAAGAGTACTGTAGGGTAAGAAACAAGGTGCTCTCATGGAGAATAACAGCAGAGGGAAGGTGATTTTATATTGGGAGATTAGGAAAGGTCTTTCTGGAAGAGACATTTCAACTGAGACCTCATGATGAGAAAGAGTCTGCCATCCCAGAAGAGTTCAATGCTGAGAGGTCATCTTAGAAGTGAACTCTTTTTTTCTAACTCTATATAAAAAGCCACTGTTACTGATGGGTGCGCATCTGTCTCTCAGGTGTGTTGGGGCAGAAAAATGTATAGACGCATAGCCTTAGACTCTTGGATTTTCAAAGTCTTAATTCTTCCAGATTCAGGAGTCCTAAATCTTGGCATTCTCCTTGACCTCCCTCCTCTGACCCGTTGTCCAGTGCTTTAAACACCTTTGTTACTTGTCTACCCCTTAATAGACCACCAACAATTACCTCATCTAATGGTGGGTCAAACAACCTTGCAGAGTTTGATTCTCTTTTGAAATCAGGTTTTTTAAAATTATGAAATACTTCAGGCACACAAAAAAGTATAGAGAATAATTTAATGAAGATGTATACACTCACTACCCAGTTGAAGAAAAAAAAAAGAATAAAAAATTCAGTTGAAACTCTGTTTACCATTCCCTGACCCTGTTCCTCTCTGGAAGCTGCTGTGTATCATTTCCACAAGATCAGATTTTAATTCCGTCTAAAGTTGAGGATGATAGACTGCACATTTTTACGAGCTTTAGTCCCTGCTACTGTTTGCTTAACCTTTTTTTTCACATCTGTTTTGTGATTTCTTTAGATTTAATATCTTTAGGAATTGGGGAAAGTAACCTTTTAGTATAAATTGCCTAAAATTTTCATTTCTATTTCTAAAAGAATCCACAAGATATCAGTCTGAGATTGTTATATTAAACTTTGAATTACTATTAGTTTGTTGACTTGGACTTGGACTGTTGCTGGTGGATTGATTGGAAGATGTTGCCTGGCCTGTGAGTTCCTGTGGCCATTTGTTTGGAGCTCTGTTTTGCCACAGGACAGACCTGGCATCCTACAGATGCCATTAGTAATGAAATCACAAATGAATTAACTCACATAAAAGCATACAGTCTCATTAGTAAGCTATAAAAGTCTGTAAAAATTAAGGAATGATTATTGTTAACATTAGTCAAAATCAGGATGGAGGGAAAAAGGAATCCCCCAAGTATTCATTCTGGTGACTTGCAGTTGTCTTAAGTAACAAATAGCACTTGTCAGAACTATTTAAACTCTGATGATAAAATTAACTGTGACACCTTTCGTTCTCATTGTAAGGGCTCTGTGAATTTCAAGTTTGGGATTCTTTTTGTCAAAGATGGGCAGCTCACTGACGATGAGATGTTCAGCAATGGTGAGTGATCTCCTCCCCCTTTCTGCTGACAGGGACCCTGTCCTGCCTTGTTGCACTTTTTACAATAGAAGTTGAACTTGTCTGTTGAGTTGGAGTCTTTAATACAAGGAGACAGTTTTACACAATTTCAGAGTAAATTTTGTAGGGTGATCATTGTCCAGTTTCATTCATTTGGCAAATATTTATTGATTGCCTAGTTTGTACCAGTCATTGTTCTGGGTACTGGAGAGACAGAAAAGCACGTGGGATTTGGAGAATTTGGTTCTTCACGATCCCAAGATTAGTCTGTGATTTTTATGGTTGGGAGAATTGTAAGGTAGTATCAATTTTTTGATTTTTAGCACTGTTCATGTTAAATATCTGCTTAGTGTTAATGCAAGCAGCAATAACATTTCCATTTTGCAGTATTAAACACTTGTAGTCACATTCTGGCAGTGGTAAAGTTGATTCATCTGGTTCTGCAGTTTTCCTTTCTTTGAATTCTTGAGAATTGTGGAACTTCCTCATGATCACCAGGAAGAAGGAAGTGTGACTTCTCCATGTTGTTTACTGTGTACACATCAGCAAAACCTAATGAGTTTTTTAGTGATTCCAGTGCATAGTTAGAAAACGAGGGCTTGTTGACACCCACAATTTCTTCATACTTTACCTCTTTCTACAGAAATTGGAAGTGAGGTTTTTCAAAAATTTTTAAGTCTTCTGGGTGACACAATCACTCTCAAGGGCTGGACAGGCTACCGTGGTGGTCTGGACACCAAAAGTAAGGATGCCTTTTGATCTATTCTGTTGTAATTTGTGTAACTTTTGTTAGCCTTATCTGTATCTGAATTTACATTTGAGTTGGGGAAAGTGTTGGATAAGAGATTATTGGAGGGAGTCAAGCTTCACACCCCATCTGAATGGGGTCATGGACACATTCAGTATGTTCATTGAGAGTTGTAAGACTAAATCAGCCCTCACAGCCCCTAGGTGGTAGCAAGAGTCATGGACTGCCCATAAACACTACTGAGCACCATCTATGCCCCTGGACTGTGCTGTGGATGTGGTGATGGATAAAACGA